CACACACACACACACACACACACACACACACACACACACACACACACGAAGGTTCCTAGATTTAAAGCGTGAAGGACCCTCTCAGGCCACATAGTCCAACCTTCCCATTTTGCAGTTAAGGAGACTGAGGCCAGCAAGCTGAAGTTTGCCCAAGGTCACTTCATAGTAAATGATAGAGCCACCATTTACCTGGGTCCTCTTGACCGTTTCCACACAACCTAGAACCAGGAGAAAGGTGAGGTCCATTGGGGTGATAAAGGCCCAGCATTTGGGCCTGAGAAGCCTGGGAACCACCGTGAGAGTAGTTAGCTTCAGAACTGGGGATGAACGTCCTTGCCTCTCTTTTTCTCCTCGTCCACAGGTCTTTGGGTTCCTGGCGACTTTCCTGTGCACGGCGAGCATCTGGTTATCCTACAAGATCTCATGTATAACGCAGGCCACAGGTGAGGGAATGCCCACTTCTTGACATGAAAGAATTGACTGAAAATGGATCAGCGGAAGTTAGGCTGCGACTGGCCCTCAGGCTCAGCGTGAGCTCAAAAGTATTTGAGTTATGGATGGGGGAAAGAAAGGACTGAAGCATCTTTGTCTCTGCCCCTCCGCATGCCCTCTTCCCTCCCCCAAGAGGCCCTGGGTTTGGGCATTGGCTTCTTTTGGTGAGCTAGAGGCTGGGGAGGGGTGCCAGGAGGAGTTTAAGAAGCCTTTTCAAAATATGTTATTTTTATGCTCTTCTTTCTAAATGTCAATTGATATTGTTTTTTATATCACTCTCATTTCCAGAAATGTCCTTTCCCTCTCCCTTCCACATTAAGCCATCCTTTATCAGAATAAAAGAAATAAAAACTAACCAACACATTAACGGGTGTATGCAATTCTCCATAGTCCCCCACCTCTGCAAAGAAGAGGATTTTTAATGGCTTAGAAGGTCTCAGCACAGTGAGCAGTATTCTCCCCTACTGTCCATAAGCGTTAGGGCTCCAGGATTAGGGGTTAGAGAGTAGGGAATCAATGTCAAGGATGATAATACTATGAGACCAACAGCTGATGTTTCCACAGCACTTTACAGTTTACAAAAAGCACTTTTCTGAAAATGGCCATGGGAGGTAGAGAGTTTAGGACTCCTCATCCCCGTTTTACAGAACAGTAAACTGAGGTTCATGACTGGCCCACAGCTACTAAGTATTATAGTTGGGACTTTACAAACCCTATGTCTTTTGACTCCAAGCCCAGCAATCTTTTCACCATATTACATTGCCTCTTTGTGTAATGATGATACCAATATGAACTCTCCAATATTTCATGGAGCTGTGCTGTCACTAGTGTGGGCCCTCCCTCCGCAGATGCAGATTGCAGATGGGTGCCACTGGTGGGCAGCCTCTGACCTGACCCTCCCTCTTCTTCCCCAGCTGCAGCTGTGTGATGGCGTCACTCATAATGCCTCGTGCCCCCCGGTAGGAAGAGCCCCTGTGGGGCTGGCAGGGACGTGTGGCTGATAGGGGAGGCCAGCCAGAAGGACCACCTGGCACTGGGACGAAGAAAGGCTTTTGAAGCAAAGTCTTCGATGCCGAAGTCCTGCCTAGAAGGATGGAGAGGCCTTCTGAGGGTTCCCTTACCCCTTCCCTGGAGTTCTGCCCAGAATATGGGGTTCCCAAAGACTCTTCTCCAGCTTTCCTCGCAACAGCCTGCCTGTTCCTGGGCGTGAGATGGGACAAACTGGACAGGATGGCCGGGAAGGGAAGCCACGCCCTTTGCCTACTTCTGCCTGTGAAACCTCTTCTGGCCCCGGGTCTCCCATTTCATAGAATAGGAGTGCAAAACTGAGTCCTTGTCTAATGCTGTCTTCAATTCACTCTGGACCTAAGGAACATTATAGAAATCCTTTTGTAAAACACCACCCCCACATCCCTAATTTATCTGCTTTTGTAAATCCAACCTTGGCGATGTTTAGCTTGCTGAAAGTGAGATACACCCAGATAAACACAGTACAAGTAGGAATGCGACCCCCGTGCCTCATTTCATCTTCCCTGCCTTTTCCTGCCGCAGACCAAAGGAAGTAAAACCTAAACTCGGCTCGCTTGGGAAAGAGATCTTTCTTACCCCGCCCAGGGGAGGTGATGCAGCTTCTCAGAGGGAAAGTCACTGACTGAGCTGGGTTAGGGCAGACACACATGCTCGGTTCCATTATATTGTCACTGACATTTAGGTAGCGCTTTAAGGTTTGCTAAGCACTTTGCTCATTTGGCCCCTAACAACCCTGTGAGGTAGATAATGCCATCCTTATTTTAGAGATGAGGAAAATAAGGATGAGAGACGTCAGTGACTTGCCCAGGGTCACATGGCTAAGGGTCTGAGGTAGGATTCGAATTCGTCTCTTCCTGATTTCCCCTTCAGCGTTCCATCTGGTATGCCATCTTCGGAGGTTTTCGGGTAAAGGTGGGCTTCCTTTTGTCACGCGTGTTATAGTGGAAGTTCCTTCAGGTATTTGGACTAGATGGACAGAGGTCCCTTCATCTCCTACTCTGGGATTCTCTGAGCTATATGATAACGTGAACAGTAACTGTGGGAGCGTGTGCCTTCTCTTTATGAACAGAAGATGGAGCAAATGCACACGGCTGCTGAGATATAGCAGGTCATGCTGGAAAAAGCGCCTGACTAGCATACTGAAGCTCTGGGTTCAAATCCCAGCAACTCTAACACTCCCTTCTTGCCTCCTTTTCTTTCTTCCCCTTTCCCTTCCTTCCTTCTTCCTTCTCTCCTTTTCTTCCCCCCTCCCTCCTTTCTTTCCTCCCTTTTTTCCTCCTTCCTTCCTTCTTCCCTATGTCTCTCTCTACCTCGCTTCCTTCCATCCTTTTCTTCCTCTCTCCATTCTTTCCTTCCTTTTTCCTCCCTTCTTCCCTCCTTCCCTCC